TGAATTGGATGAATAACCTTTGTTAGCGAGTAATTGTGTAGGATAGAACTATTTTCCTGCTCATCTGAACGCGCAAATGTTGCAAGACAGAACCAATCGATCACAGAGAGCATTCACTCACTGCTGACGGTGCATTCAAACAGGGCTGCGTTTCCCAAAAGTATCGTAAGAAAGCATTAAAGCTTTTGGGAACGGCAGCCCTGAGCAATGCTTATCAGAGGACAGAAAAAAACATATGTTTGAGTTATTTCACAATAAACAAATTGAAATTGTAGCCTACATAGTTTGTGCAATTACAATTATTTAAATTGAATGTTGAAAGATAATATTGATCATGTTCTGTTCTGTAATGTTAATAGAAATCATACACTGTCAGAATAAAAAGGTTGCATTTTATGCATGCAACAGCCTGTCACTGGCAGTCCCTTATGATAATGAACCATGGTTTTACTAAAATGACCATAGTTCAACTGTAGTATTTGTAGATTTGAATCATGTGTAAACAAAAAACACATTTGAACCATGTGTAAACAAAAATATAACCTAATAAGTTACAATTAAGGCGTATTGAATGTTAAAATGTGTTTTAAACATAAAGTTAAGTGGTTATCATTACCCATTTTACTCTTAGAAATTTAATAAATTTATACATTTCATCATTTAAAAGTTTAGTTCAGAAGTATCATATCGGTATCGATATCGACGATACTGCCTTGAAAAATATCGGTATCGTATCGAAAACAAAATAAGTGGTATCGCCCATCCCTAATTTTATCATTTAGAGAAATAGTGTCTCTTTAATTAAGAACCATTGTTATGCTCTCATTGTAGTGCAAACCCATTGAGCACAGTACAATCAAACTTAAATGACCCACTTTACCTGAATTCACCCTATCAAGTGTAAAATGTGTTTATGAAAAGAAATGAGGGTGAAATATTAAAATTCCAATAAAAATACATTTTGGCTAAATGCTGTTTGCATTAACACAGCCAAAATAATAAAAACTGAAAAAGACGCCAATTAAGGAGGCCAATTAATATGGTTACATTAATGAGCAGGGTTTCCGTGATTGATTGATGGGGAATATTGGGAATCTGCCCGCTAAAAGCCACAATCAACCAATAAGAATCAAGAGCACATATCTGAGAGCACAGTGTAATGATTTTTTTTTTTTTTTTTTAAAAAGGGGTTAAATATCTAAAAGTAAGTTTCATAAACGTTGAATTGCCACAAACCCTAAATAATTAAAAATGAAAATCATGAAAGCATATAGGGTAGGCTATTCACTTTTATTGAATTTACAAGCATTCTTGGTGTTCAAACACCACAGCAAGTAGTCTTACAGAATTTCTCTCCATATAGTGTGGAATAAGATTACAATAGCTCTACATGCTAAAAATGGTATAACGTTTCAGTGTCATTACTGAACTCACAATGTCCTTCCTTACTTGCCCTCACATTTCTACTTCTAAAAGCGGGATCTACTTCATCAAGATCAGCCTGACGCAACCAAACACTGAGACTGACAAGAAAATGACCATGAAAATATGACTCCCCTCATTATCCAAGATGGAAAATTCTTAAGCGGACTTCCAAAAAGAGAAATCATGGAAATACACTTTTCGTGTCACATAAGGTCTGCCTGTGAAAGCCACACATTCTCTGCTGGAACACTTTTCTAGGCTCTCTTTCAGTGCTTAGACACATAGAGGGCAAATCTGTTGTGAATTAAATAGTCATATTTAATACGTCTATGATTCCATCGGACACCAGCTCTCAGTTGGTTTTTCAAGCCCAACTTGAGAAAACGTTTAAAGTGTGGAACGTTATTCTGTGTGTTTGAACTCCACATTTTTTTCTTGAGAGTGATATTGTATACCCTTGTTACCACAGACCTTGGCTAGAAAAACTGTGCTGAGCGACTACAAGAACATGGTACTGAATGAATGCAAGACAAAATGCCGTTGTGCCATCTTGAGGAGGTGTTGTGGTATTGCATGGTATTGATGGCTATGGCTCAGATTTATGAAGCAATATTATAGATAAAATCAATAAACTCATATATATTTTTTTTTTTTTTTAATAATTTTGAGCATAAATATACAACACCTTTCCCTTATATTACCAATTTTAGAATTTTATCTGTAATATTTCTCTGACTGCTTTCTTTTGAATAAAATATAGGTTATTTATCATTAAAAGACAGAGCATTTTCAAAACATAAAAACATAGCAACAAACAAAATTAATGAAAATTATTAATTGCTTTTGGCATCTAACACAATTTAACCAAGACCACATCTGTGTGGAGTGGAGAGGGTTTGGTTAAAGCTTGACAAAGCTGTGTGGTAAAAGCTATTCTACTATCTTTTAGCACATATTTTTAAACAAACTTCTTGAATTCATCATAAAGCACGAGCACAAATGCGCCCCCCATTCCTCTGAGTACATTAGACAGAGCCCCTTTGAAGAAAGCTTTTCCACCCTCATCACGAGCGATCTTTCTCCAGCAGTCAAGGGTTCCAGTGTACATAATATCCGCTGGGAAAACAAAAGACAAAGGCCTGAGTTGAAATAAATGCACACTTGATGGAGAACAGTGCATATGTTTGAGTGTGTCTGTTGTATACCTCCTTTGCGCCCGGACTGCATCATCATGCGACGCCGCACAGTGTCAAATGGATAGGACACCACGCCAGCCACTGCTGTCACAGTTTGTGCAATCATCCAGCTGACCATAATGTGGGTGTTCTTAGGGTCGGGAAGCATGCCTGCACAGCACCACACACAATGATGCATGCATGTTTCTTATATATTTGAAGAATTGAAGAACTGGCTGTGTGAATTTGACTTGAACTGGCCATATCACAAGTTAAATTCGAATGACAGAAAGAGGAATTGCAATTCTGAATACTAAATTGTAAGTGTAAAACACAGGTAATGCATTCTGGGAAATGAAGTGATCTTTCACCCTGGTCCCCAAAAATATGATGACATATAAACTAAATACAATCTTTTAAAGGTGAAATTTCAAGCATCTCTATCCATAAGACCTATAAATCTGAAAACCTCAGGGCTTTTAACCCCCCCCCCCCCTTTCATTCACTGAAATAAAGCCAAAAAAAAACAAAAACGGAAGCTTGTGGAAAACTGGCTGAAGTTAAAGTTCTAAAATTACTAAAACTCAAATAGAAATAAATGAAAGCTAAATAGAAATATAAAAACAGCTAATAAAAAATGACAAAAGCACACAAAATTACTAAAACAAACTAAAATGAAAATGGAAACTGAAATATAACAATAAAATCTAACTCAAAATTTTAATAAATACTATAATAATATATAAACAATAGTAAAATAACAGTTTAAAAAAAGGCTTTGTCAAGCCAAAATTCAAAGTTTGTATTTGCTTTTGTAGTAAAATCAATGTTATTTTTTATTGACAATTGTTTTTAATTTAAATTCATAAAAAAACTAATTTAAAATATTAATAAATATAATATAATATAAATGAATGAATTATATTATATAAATAATATAATACAAATGTAACATTTTCAAACAAGGCTTTGTCCATCCCAGATTTAAAGTTTGCATTTGCTTTTCTAGTAAAAACCAATGTTATTTTTATTGAGAATTTTTTACATTTCAATTTATTAAAAAAAAAAAAGTACTAATTCAAATTATAAATAAATACTATATCACTAAAACAACCCTGTTTCAAACAAGACTTTGTCAATCTAAGATTCAAAGTATGTATTTGCTGTTCTACTAAAATCTATTATTATTTTATTCAGATTTTTAAATTCTACTTTTTCAGCAGTTTGTTTTCTTCCTCTATTCAAATGATTTCAAAATTCAAGAAATACACTGGAATTTGAAAGGCAGTCTCAAATCAATCCTGAATAGCGCACAACCCTGAAAATCACATCATCTGACGCACAAACCTATTACCTTTAGCAGTGTCATAGACTCCGAAGTAGGCGGCCCTGTAAATAATGATGCCCTGGACAGAGACGTTGAAGCCCTGATACAGACCCCGCAAGCCGTCTGACCTAAAGATTTTGGCCAGGCAGTCGGCCAGCCCATTGAACTCTCTGCTGCTGCCAGCTTTGCCGACATCTGCAGCCAAGCGGGTACGAGCGAAATCTAGGGGGTAGACGAAGCAGAGGGAAGTGGCTCCTGCAGCTCCACCGGAGGCCAAGTTGCCAGCGAAGTATCGCCAGAACTGTGTGTGCTTATCAACGCCACCCAAGAATATCTGTTTGTACTTGTCCTTGAAGGCAAAGTTGAGGGCTTGTGTGGGGAAATAGCGAATGACGTTGGCTAGGTTGCCGCGCCAAAAGGAAGCAAAGCCTTGTTCCTTAGGAATCCTCACAACACAGTCAATAATACCTTTGTACTGTTTGTCTGCACTGATCTGCTTGCTGGCATGTTGTACCTATAAAGTGAAACACAAAATACTGTGAGATACATGATATCTGGATTGATTTTTTGTCGTTTGATTGTCCTTGAGCAATATTTTAAATACTGAAAACTGTGAAATACTATTACCATTTAAAAGAACCTTTTTTAGCAGTTTATATAAAACAATTTCTATTTTAATACATTTTAAAATGCTATTTATTTCTGTGATGATGCTAAAGCTGTATTTTGAGCAGCCATTATCAGTGTCACATGATCCTTCAGATATCATTCTAATATGCTGATTTGCTGCTCAAGAAACATTTATTATTATTATCAATGCTGAAAACAGCTGTGCTGCTTAATATTTTTATGGAAACCATACTACATTTTTCTAATATTCTTTGATGAATAGGAAGTTCGAAAGAAAAGCATTTATTTGAAACAGAAGTGTTTTTTTAACATTATAAATGTCTTCAATATCACTAAATCTGCTAAATCTACTGACCCCAAACTTTTGAACAGTAGCCTAGCGTATCACAGTTTCCACAGAAATATTAAGCAAAAACTGTTTTCAACTTTGATAATAATATGAAACGTTTCTCCGGCAGCAAATCAACATATTAGTATGATTTCTGAAGGATCATGTGACACTGAAGACTGGTAATGACTGCAGTAAATTCAGCTTTGCATTCACAGGAATAAATGAAATATATTAAAATAGAAAACAGTTACTTCGAATGATAATAATATTTCACAATATTACTGTTTTTACTGTATTTTAAATCAAATAAATGCAGCATTGGTGAGCCTAAGAGACTTCTTTCAAAAACATTACAAAATCTTGAGGATTCCAAACATTTGTATGGTAGCATTTAGTTCTGACATAATTTTCTTCTGATTTTAGATGCCCTTCTTGGCAAAAATCAGCCCTAATGCATAAAGTCTGGGCCTGCAACATGAGACCAGACTGCAGGGGGCAAGATGTGCCACCCAACCAGCTGCTGGAAATTCACGGTTTGGCCTTAAAATACGGTACATTTGGGTTACTAAAATCTATAAATTAAGATCCACGTGAAAGAATGCCAGAATAGAAACTAGGTATTAAAATGACAATTTAAATGTTGAGATCCTCCAAGGACGCGGATGTTGCAGACAGACAACTCAAATATGGCCTCTGAAGGACAGTCAGTTCGCATCTTTATAGCCACAAAATAATTCACGCTATTCTTAAATACGAAAGAAAGGGGTTTATAAATTAGCATGCATCACGGCAGAGTGCGTTAAGAGAAGTCGAGATGTTGATTCTCACCTGCAGCAGCAGTTTGACTCTATCGGCGCGACTGCAGTTTTGGAAATAGCCGCTGCGACCCCACCGGCCAAGAAGTCTTTAGCAAAAGAAAGTGCAGCATCAGCCATGACGATAATACTTAAGTGTATTATAAACACAATATACTGAACGTGCTGGCAGATGCAGGAGGTAGAGCGGAAAGGATGCTGAAGGACACACCGCGCTAACTCTCGAGGTTTCTCGCGATATTTGCTCCCGAATTACTAGGGTCGAGTAAAGACGCTGTGTACAACACAGAACTTACATTTTCATGACATGCTATATCTATTAATTAATAACTTCATAATTAATTGTCCATTACATAATATTAGTTACAATTCTAAATGATTACATGTATCATATCATACCAATCTATGAGATTTGAACTGTAAACCAACATACAAAACCAGTACCAGTGCCAATTATAGGCCTACCTCTGTATAATTAGACTTTTTACTTAAAACCCTCATAGTTATGATAGCTCTTGAATCCATTCCCTATATGACTACAAACCCCATTCCTCCCTATAAAAAACTAGCTAAAGACAAGAACGCTGTCTTTTGATTCAAAACCATATTTAATTCAATATACAACATTCACAGTTAAAAACTGTTTCTGTAATTAATAATAATCATGTACAAACACTTATTTCGAGCATTTAGGTCAGAAACGTTCATAATATTTGAACACAGCTAAAACATTGAGCTAGAATAAGTCAACTGTAGTGTTTCCAAAATGCTGCAGTCGTTATATCACTCAAGTTCTGCAGTCTCAATGGATGCTGAAGAACAGCCTAGTAACGTTCTTTTGTCATTTGGGTCTTCTTTCACAAATAGCATGGCATCCAGCAGGTTGTCCGTGTGTTTGATGTGTTTGGGAGTGAAGCCATGCTTCTCCAGTAAGTCACTGTATTCGGTGGGGCTCCTCTGCTTTCCTTCTGTCATACTGAGGGCTTGCAACAGGGCTCGGCTTGGCCTTTTCCTTTCCTCATCCAGGAAGATCTCAGACACCAGAAGCCCACAACCTGTTTGGTAGCAATACATTCATAAACCAAACATTTAAACCCTTGACCTTGATTAAAAAAAAAAAAAAAACAGTAATTTTGATGACTTCAGATGTTTACAATTCGAAATACTTTAAAAAGGAACAAGTAATGTTAAGATAGAGTTTATACTGTAGGCCAGGAGTTAACAAACTGGGATGAAGATACCCCCAGGGGGCGCTAAGGGGCCATTTGCACAGGGATCATCATATTATTAGAGGGTCCTTGGCATCAAAAAGTTTGATATTTCAGAATCAGGCTTACACATTAAGAATTTAATAATGTCACTTTTTAAAGCACTTACCTGGTGTGCACATTTTGGACAGTTTACTCAATAATACATGCAGTTTCTCATCAGACCAATCATGGAGGATTCGTGCAAGAATATACAGGTCTGCTTTAGGCAGGTCATCTTTAAAGAAATCTCCTATCGTGCAAATAAAAGAAAAACAAAAAGTGAAAAAAAAACAGTCAAGAATTTCAAAAGGCCTTTTGCACATTACTCAGGATGTATTATTATACATGAGACAAATACACTGTAAAATTCTTCGTTATAAAAATGTTCACATAAAGTCTTCACTGACCTGCAACAAATGACACTCTGTCATCAGTTTCTTTAGGCTGAAAGTGGCGTCTCATCTCAATGACTTGTGGCAAGTCAAATACAATAACCGACAGTCCAGGATGCACTTTTGTAAACTCGTATGCCACGGCACCAGTGCAACCTATGTGAGAACAGAATGCTTTTCTAAAATGCTCATATCATAAAATATATATAATTCATAACTCTACACTACACTTCAGAAGTTTGGAATTTTCTGATGTTTTTAAAAAAGTTTCTTATGCTCAACAAAGTGGCATTTACAGTATTTGATCAAAAATACAGTAAAAACAGTAATAGCTGAAGTTTCAGCAACCATGGCTCCAGTCTTCAGTGTCACATGATCCTTCAGAAATCAGTCTAATATTCTGATTTGCTGCTCAAGATAACATTTCTTCATATTATCAATGTTGTACAGTTGTGCTGCTTAATATTTTTGCAGAAACTATGAAACTTTTTTCTAACATTTTTTTTTAGGATTCTTTAATGAATAGAAAGTTCTAAAGAATAGCATTTATTTGAAACATAAATCTTTGTAAATGTCTTTACTGTCACTTTAAATGCAATTTAATGCATCCTTGCTGAATTTGAATGTATTTATTTTTTAAGAATTCTTACTAACCTCAACATTTTAAATGGTAGTGCATATTTATTTCATGTCAGAATCAGGTTTAAGTGAATTTGCAGGACTATCTGTCTGTCCAAACAAAGAAAGAAGGCAGAAGATTTTGGAAACACTATTATTTTTATGATTCCATTTAGTTACTCTAGTGTCACCAAAATGAAACCCTTCACCCTTTAAGCACCTTTAAAGTTTCTAACTTTTTTTGTCAGTGTGGAAAATAAATTCTAGCTCTAAATTTAGGTCAAAGCAGGTAAAGAGAATAAACAGGATACAATAAATACAGATGTCCTTGGCATAAAAAGCCCCTGAGAGAATTGGTCATTAGAAGCATATATAATTTGCATAACAAGCTTGCAACTCCTTTTCAGATAAGCAACTTTTGAGAACAAGCTTTCAGAATAAAATATGCATGCACTATGCTCTAGTGAAATCTCAAATTATGCAAGACAGCAGCGGGACGGTAGTTTCTGCACATCTTATCTGTGCATTCTCGCGGTCACTTGCTCACGTCTCAATGGGAAGTCAGACACGCAATGTTTTGATCTGTTTTTTTTTTTTTATGTCACAGAGTGAGGAATGTTGAATAATCCTGAACGTTAGAAAAAAAGCTGAGAGAATATGTTCTTTTATTGATTTTTTTCTTTAATCCATATTTGAATTTAGTTTCATTACTTTTTAATATTTTATTTTGGTGATTTTAAAATGTATTTGACTTTGAATTGACCTGATATATTAAGGCTGTCCATTAAAAAAAAGTTATAGACTGCATTTGATTAATCAGTATATCATGAATTTAATTACCTAAAAATGAACCAATTGATAGCCTTTATTTTACCATCTGTCTCTATTTTTGAGGTAAAAATCATATACCTCCAATGTCACAAGCTGTTTTGTAGGGAGAAAGTTCAAATGCTGTTGCCACATCTTTTCCAGTCACCCTTGCGATGCTGTGCATTGCATCCATGAATCGTATCTTAACTTCATCTTTACTGTAGTAGGCATCCTAGAAAACAACAAAGCAATTCTACTTAATACTGAAATGTCAATAGCTTTTGAAAATGCATGATCCATAGGTGATATAAGCAGATGCGTTTAACTCGCGTTTACCTGAAACACCTCCTCATTCTTCTTCCCAAACGCTCGCTCATGTTGGCTGGTGCCCTCCCTGACAGCGTTCTCTAGATGGCTGAAGAGAGGCCACACCATATCATTGCAGTGGAGAATGTATCCATTCAATGACTCTGGGCTGTCTGATACCAGGAAGCGACTGGCCTGTTCTGTATTTCTATACACTGCAACAGACAATAAACAATGTTACATTCACAGTCCACCTCCAGACATGACAATGAAGAGAACATGTAATAAACAATCAGTAGGAGGAAATGCATGCATGCGAGTGCCTTGCTTTAATGAACAGAGAAAGTGCTTGTAAGTTATAAATGGACAATGAGCTTAGAGGTTTCAGAACTCGCATTTAGGAAAACCACATGCGATTTCTACGACAGTAACACCATTTATGTGAGTAAAACGGCAGTACATAAATCTTACCACTGGTATTTTGCTGTTTGACCCGTTCTAGAAGCCCTAAAGAGACAGCAGCTTCCAAAAGCCTCTCAGTGCCTAAAACAGAGGCATTGATTTGGCCAGCTACCTCTTCTAATGTCAGACTGTTAGAGCTGTTCAATACATCAAACACCTTCAGTTTGGATGCTGTGAATAGAGTCTGATAAACAAATGCATTGCAGAAAAGTTACCACACATTTCACGCAAACCATTTGTATTTTAATGGTTCATGTGTACAAATAACAGCCTAAAACCTACATTAGGTTAAAATATTAAAGGTGTAGTTCGTAGGTGTAGGTGTAATTGTTTATTTGCTCATGATGAATCTATATGCGTATATACAGTATACCTATACATATGCTTACATATACCTGAATACCTATATGCTTTTAATATTGATGAACACGAGGAGAATTTTTACCAAATTTGCACTCTGGCATAAGTGGAATTAATGAACTATTCTTTAAAATTTAAAGAATCATGACTACCTTTGAAGCTTTGAACCCATCCAGTAAACTGATGATGCTGTGGGGGATGTCCTGTCTGCTGCACTCCGTCCCAATCACATTCTGTTCTTGCATTGACATCCGACTGCCATCTTTACCATTTTCCAATAGCTCAACCTCCTCGTTTGCGGCACCTTCAGACAGACTGTTAACCAGAGTCCAGGCCTCATCTGATTCCCGTTTGACCTTGTGGGCTGGACTTTCAGGTGGGCTGTTAAAAATCAATCCCAGCTGCTTGCAGAAGTGGTTAAGAGGGAAGCCTACCACATTAAGGAAATCTCCTTTCACATACTCTACCAACATGCCACCCAAAGCCTGGATCCCGTAACCACCAGCCTTGTCCCTGTCAAGCACAGATATGTCTGTCAGTCTCATCACTGATAAGAATTTGCACGGCAGGCGAAATGCCAGAGTACAGAAAATTGATTTATTTACTCAAAGTGGACTCCCTTACTCAAAAATGTACTTTGTTGAATTTTCCCTTGTCATTATCAACACGTCAAAGCAAACACAAAAATGACTAACTCTATAAAGGTCCAAATTCCACAGGTTCAACAAGTTCAAATTTACTGAACATGCTCAGCAAACGTGATCACAGCCTTCAATGAATTTTGCATATGAAAATCAATACACATAAACTCACATGGGCTCTCCACTGTTGATGTATTCCCAGAGCATCTCCTCGGATAATTCTGCAAATTTTACTTTTGTCTCTTCATAAAAATCAACCACTTTGTAGTCTGTATCTGAACCTGCAAAGAAGAATGATTAAACTTTATAATGATCTGTCTATTTTACAAATACAAGACTTTAATTGTAAAAATAATAAATACATTAAACTTTCACATACCACTCTTGTCATGGCAGAGCACAATAGCTACACCCGTGAAGACGCTATGTTCCTTACCACTCAACCTGAAATACAATCATTTCAATATATTTTAGTTTCTGCATGAGTGCAATAAACGTCTCACTTTAGACAACCAAAAAATATAAATGCACCTAGACAGCATACGGTAAGCATCTTCTTTATCTGTAGGCTTCTCCAAGATCAAGCCATCAACTGTCTGAGGACGAAAAGAGAAGACAAATTTAACAAGGCAATTTTCCGGACAGAATATCATATTATATTGAATTATACAGCTACTTACCACAACAGTGTCTGCTCCAATTACAACATCTGGACTTTTCAAGTGTTTCTGAATCCAGCACATATACAGTTATACAGAATAAAGGGGACATTGTAAATGGTCAGAAACTAAAATTGACTTACTCACATACAGAAATATACAACTTACAAATGGCATTCGGTGAGCCACTTCCAAAGCCTTCTGTTTGGCTGTCTCCACTGCATAGTCATATGGGTTCTTAAACAAGGATTTGTCCAATGTTTCTTTAAACCAAGAAGGAACCACCTCGAACCGTAAACCCTGCCTCATCAATGCAGAAGAAGAAAAGAGAAAGCACTGATCATTCAAAGTTCATTGTCCATGTAAAAACCTAGTAAAAATAACCAAAAAACTTACAGCATTAGATAAAATCTCCAGACGTCGTGGAGATGCGCTTGCCAGGACAACAAGCTTTCCACTCAGCTTGGATATTACTGGATTTAACAACATGTTGCACCTCTCCTTTCTGTCACTTCCAGAGGTCTATCCTGGGAATCGAGAGAAACATTAGCTTATATGCATGTCAAAAACAACAAGTTTAATACCTGAACATGGAGTTGAAGCACATGGCTTATAAAGCAAAGTCATAACTGCATATGATTGCAAAAGTCTGTGTTCTCCGGGACAGCAACCTCGATAATGGTTGAAGGTGAGCTTGACCACAATTTGTCCAGATCATAATTTTCTTATCGTTGTTTTTTTGTTTTTTTTGAAACAGAAAATGTCAGTCGAATAAGGACAGTGTAGTTGCATTAGAAGTGTATTTAGTCTAGATACACAGCAGTGTATTCATGCAAGAACTTAGCGTGACGAAAAGCGGTATTCATTTATTCATGTTTTGACATTAATACATTCAGGAGTAGCAAATTACACACATATAAAATAGGTAAAGATTAATTTATCTTTATTCTTTTTAAGCATTTACCTGGAAAGGCTTGCTCCACTCTACTCTTTGCGCTTCCCGAAACGTAGTGCACTGACAGGCAGAGATCCTGAAGAGGCGGAGTCTACCACGCACGCACATGCGCAGTTACCTGTCCTGATATAACAGCGTCACGATACTTCTGCGTGACCACGTGTAAATGGAGTGTAGTTTCATTTATTCTGGACTTGTCATTATACTGCATATAACAACTTTGGAAAAATATTGGTTCATTAATTAATGATATCCAGCAAGATGTATCTATTACATTCAAATAAATTATTTTAGGACATTATGAACTCTAAAAGCAATGCTTGTTTTGTTATAAATTAAATTTATTTTTCTTTTCTTTTTTAATTTACCAACAACATACCGCATTTTCTTGTTTTTTTAAACAATTTAAAAATGATCTAAACACCATTTCATTGTCAGAAAGTAAGAAAGCAAGTAGAACTATTTCATTTTGCAATGACTTTATTTTGTATACTATAATTGATAGTTAAATGTCTTACCCTCAAGTTCTTGTTTTTGTCTTTTATTTTTTCCTACTTTTCCTCTTGTAATCTTTGTTTTCAGTTGACAATGTATATTGTTGATACTTTGTGTATTATGCACAAACATATTTTAAATGTCAACTCTGTAGTCTTTCCTTGCATTAATAAAAAAAGAGAAAAAAGTAAATGGAGTGTAGGAAATGACTGTTGTATCATCATGACAAAAGGCACCAATATTATATAAAATGTTACATCAGTAGTTACATTATAGGTATGTGGCTAATTCAGTTCGAATTCACACTCAGAACTAAGTTCAAGAAACTGTATTGACATGGTAGCATTGCAAAATTTCTGTCCGTTTATAATATGTAGAGGAGAGTGGGGTACAATGAATCAATGGTTGTCACAGTTTAATCTAAATAAATGCTTATTTTGTATTAAGTTAATTTTCTACATGGCAGATAAAATACATTTTAAAGCAAAACCACATTTCAGGTTGGCTATGTTTCATAATATAAAATACAAGTATGTTGGTGATTGTATAAAACCATGTAAAGGATATGGACTAAGATTACTCAAAATAAATAGCCTAAAGCGGGGTTTTTTTTTTGTTATCGAGTTGTGGGCTAAGATGAGATGAGTTGCTCACCTAAAGAGTGATAGTACGCCTCCAAATGCAAGACAAATTTAAAAACAAAAGAAATAAAACATTTCTTAGAATAGTCAGTTTCTTATAAACCTTCTCATTACTGGTTTATGGATATCTTAAAAAGAAAAACTTTGTTTATATTTTTATTTAAAATACAAATGGGTATTCCCCAATGGCTCAACATAGCCTATTTATTGATATGATAGCCTACAAGCTTACCACTAAAATTGCACCAACTCTTTTAATATTTCTACATCCTCTTTTCACTGGCTGGGATTTCTAAATTGCCTAATGTAATGCCTAATGTGCTGATGTAATGTTATATGGAAGCCTGCTACAAACTGAAATTAGAAGAATGCGTAGGGCCATACAAATATGACAGTAATAGTGACCATATGTCCACTGTTTCCCAGACATGTCCTGACCGAGATTTCAAAATCGGGGGTACAATTGGCTCTGTTTTCCTACTGATGGCCGCTCTACAGTCCTCATACATTATATGTACATTTATTTACATTGCCTTGACTGTTCTCTGTAGATCCCACTTTCTTGTACACTATGATGTGCAATGAATACTATTGGTCAAACTAGCTACTTTTCAGTCATTATCTCCAAGTATAAAAACAATAAGAAAACAAAGCCAAAACCTAAACAGGTGATTTAGAAAATCCCAGCAAGGGAAAAGAGGATGTATGGTCATCGTACTTAGAAATATTAAAAGAGTTGGTTCAGTTTTAGTGGTAAGCTGTATCATATCAATAAATATGTTGAGTCATTGAGGAATACCCACTGTATTTAAATAAGAAGTTCTATAAAAATATCCATAAACCAGTAATGAGAAGGTTTATAAAAAAAAACTTAAAAACTATTCTAAGAAATGATTTATTTCTTTTCTTTTTAAGTTTGTCTTCATTTGGAGGCAACTCATCTCATCTTAGCCCACAGCTATCGATTTGAGAAAAACGATTTATGATTTATTTTTACATTTTGAGTAATCTTAATCCAGATCATTTACATGGTTTTATGCATTTACATATACATTATTATATATAATAATAATCGTGAAAAAGTAAATTTTTTGTAACTTATTTCAAAAAGTGAAACTTTCATATATTCTAGATTCATTATATGTAAATTAAAACATTTCAAAAGTTTTTTTTGTTTTAATTTTGATGATTAGAGCTTACAGCTCATGAAAGTCAAAAATCCAGTATCTCAAAATATTAGAATATTTCCTAAAATCAATCAAAAAAAAGGATTTGCAAAACAGAAAAGCTCAAGTTCTTTAAAGTATGTTCATGTATAATTAATTAATAATTAATTAATTACATCTGTATGCCTGTGGCACTGCAGAGGCACTACTGAGCCTTCAGCTCGACTATTATTGAATCGACTGTTTCTCATCTTTCTCTTCAAAATATCCCATAGATTCCATATGGGGTTCAGGTCAGGCATTGTTGGCTGGCCAATCAAGCATAGTAATATCATGGTCAGCAAACCACTTGGAAGTG